CGGCGCGGGGCCCGGCCGGGCGGTTCCCTTGTGCCCCGGGTGACTGTCGGAAGTGGCGGCGAGGCTCGGTTCGCCCCGCCACTCGGGAGTGCCGAACGCCTGGAAGAGTCGGCGGGAATGCGGCCAGGCCGGGGCCCGCGTCCTAAAGCGCAGCGCGGGTCCGACACTTCTGAGACTCTGCGCGGTTTAATGGTGCGCTGAGTTTGCCCTAGAAGGAGGTGGTTTAGAATAGGTACATTAAATATATGGTATGTTTCTGGAAGCTGGCTAATTTCTGGTCGTCTTCGTGATACCTCGGTTGTGATGTGTGTAATGTATTCCCCCCTGGAGGAGGAAGAGTGCACTATGTTCGCTGTTCAAAACTCTTCCACGTGAGGATGGTTTTGCAAGAAATTACTGATCTGTTTTATCTGGCTGAGTTTTATCAGTGTTAGTAATGCAGTGTTTGAGGCTGTAGTTTGAATATGGTGAAATTGCCTCGATTGCAAAATACTACTCTGAAATGTAATACTTAAAAACTATCGTCATATCTAATTTCAAATCATCCATAGGTCACCCATTTTAGGTAAGGTAGGTCTTTGGTTCTCTTAAAAAATTTACATGCTGTACTCATTCACTGAATGGGTAGTTTCCTAAAAAAAGGTCGATTCTTGACAAACCTGGAATTCTGTTAATTACTGGAAAAAAATACTGTTTTCTTAGTACTGGTGTTTCCTTTCTTTACCAGTCTCTCCTTAGGTGTGTATTGGTGCTTCAGTTAGTTCATCCAGTGCTTCCTTTCTTCTCCATTAAATCATTTCCTACTAAAATGTCATTGTCCATTCTTCCTGATTCCATACTGATTAGGCAATCTAAATCCAGCTCCTTTCCACCTCAGCTGATTTCTTTTTATTGTCTACTGACAGTTACCAAATCATTATTAAAAACTGAGACTTAGCTCATAACTAGTTTAACCTTTTGTTTAGCTGCAGTTGTTCAGGACATTCCTCATTCCTGAGTATACAGGAGTTATTGCAGTTTAATTCCGTTACTATATTCAGCCAGCATTTTGACAACAGCAAAGGAAAACGTTTTTATTCTTTCCTTCCTCTCTTGACTTCCCTACATAATTAAGGTTGCTTTTTAAAAAAATCCCTGTCCTGAAATTGAACACGGTGTTTTATTTTAAAGCTACACAGACATACTTGTTTCATCTTTTTGAAGAATTGTTATGGGCACGGTAATAAACTAGACTGGAAAAATTACTTTTACTGGTAAATTTAAAATAGTATGTGGTTTTATTAAAGCCTTGTCCACTGACAACAAAAGTAGGAAGACCAATGGTTCTGATTATGTGTGCGGTCTTCATTTGCTACATGGATTTCTGCAATAAATCTATGGGAAGCTCAATAAACAAAAATACAAAAAATACTTGTTCCTTTTACTACACCTCCTTGTGCTTCATGCCTCTATCATTTAGCCATTTTTAAATTTTCATTAATGCTTTCATTCCAGTTTAACCCATTTTGTTCTACATTTGGTGAAGGTCGTGGAAGGGAAGGCATATGGGGAGCAACTGAGGTCACTTGGTCTGTTCAGCCTGGAGGAGTCTGAGGGGACACCTCAGTGCAGTCAACGATTTCCTTGTGAGGGGAAGAGGAGGGGCAGGCACTGATCTCTGGTGCCCAGTGACAGCACCTGAGGGACCCGAGAGTGGCCTGAAGCTGTGCCAGGGGAGGCTTAGGTGGGATATCAGGAAAATGTTCTTCACCCAGAGGGTGGCTGGGCACCAGAACAGGATCCCCAGGGCAGTGGTCACAGCGCTGAGCTGGGTGAGTGACGGAGTTCAAGAAGCTTCTGGACAATACTCTCAGGCACAGGATGTGACTTGGGTCTTCCTGTGCAGGGCCAGGAGCTGCACTCAATGATCTTTGTTGGTTCCTTCCAACTCGGAATGTTCTATGATTTTACATTTCATACACACATAAAGTACATCCAGAAAATCAACTTGTTTAGAGTTGGACAGGGAAGTACATAATTTGCCTATAATTCTATTTAACATTTATTTTTAATTCTTTGTGAAGCAGTTCTGTAAATATGTAGTCATGCCATTTCTATTTTTTGTGAGATTTTATCTCTTACATTCTAGCTAAGAGCCCTAGAATGTTGCAAACCTTTCTTAGACTGAAATAACTAAAATACTTCTAAATCTGTAGACATTGACTGGAGTGGTTTTAGTTTGAGACACGTCTAATTTGAATTGCAGCTGTACTGCAAGTACAATTCAAACTTAGGTTGTGTTTCTTTTTTTATAATTTATGTGTCAGATTATGTATAAATATTGGTGAAATCTGTGACAAACTAAATTCAGTGCCTGTATCTATACCAGAGGAATAATTAAAATTATATTTAAAATATGCTTTATATTACTGCATGTAGAATCAGCTGGGTTGGCCTCCTGGGAGACTTAAGATCTTTTTATCTGCAGAACAGGTATTGCAGGCTTTGCCTCTCTGTGAGGTCTCAGCTGTTATCTGAAAAGGAGTGTCACTCAAACAGGGACAAGTTACTTCGAGGTGTCTCATGTGGTTATGCAGCCTGCAGAGCTGACATGTCCTGGAAGCAGCTCCTGAACCATGTCAGCCTGGCAGTGTGAGTCACACAGGCCAATCACGGTATGAATTTTCTCTCACAGATACTTATCTGCAAGAGATACTTTAATGAGGGTGAGAGCTAACACACTGTTACAGCTCATATTTAAATCTCAGTAGAAAAACTGTATGTCATCTGCATGCATGCCAAATTATCCTTACAGAAGATGTATTTTGTAAGGGAAGTAAAGGAGAGTGCTACTTAGTCACTCCAGAAGGTACTTTCTTTTGAAGGAAAGTTTGCAGTTTCCAGGCTTGTTGCATCTTCCCCAAGCAATGCCTTCTGAGGTCTTTGTTTATAGGGACTCTTCATTCCGTGATAGAGTTCCATAGGTGTTTTGTAGGTTGGTTATGCAGGACATGCAAGGAAGCATATACCATAGGCTGTTCTGGACAAAATTTCTAATGCATGGCTGACTGGGATGGAGAGAGTTGGACTTGACAGTCCATCAGGATCTCGATGGTCTCTTCCAGTCTTTGGTTCCTAAGCGCATTTGTGATGCAGATAGTTGTCCAGTGACCTGGAATGAGAGAGCCTATTCATTTCTGACAAACAGCCTTCAGATAGTAATGTCTTTTCATTACTAAAATGAGCAAAATAATGGCAGAGATATGAAAGGCTTGCATCTTGTCACCAATTCCCTTGAACCATTTGATTCTGCATGCATAAAAGCATCATAATCTGTGTGTGTGTGCATGGATGCACGCAGACATGTGCGTGAGAATGCTCAGAAAAGCATGTCAGAGTTGTACCAGAGGAAAGGTAGCTGGCTTTTTAAGCAGAGTACTTATTATTATCATAAAAGGTAGCTTCTCAAATACAAAGAAGTTGATGGAATGGGGTTTCTTTACCCATCAACATACACAGATATGCTTTTTGTTTATGATACTTCACTGGTTTCTGTACATCCTATATATGCAAAACTAATTTTAATGTGTTTTCTGTGTCTGAAAGCCAAGACGAAAAGAGAAGAAATAAATTTTGTTTTTTAGAAACAAAACTCAGTCCTTTCCCTTTTTGCCTACATTGTACAAGCAGATGCTTTTACTACTACAAGTGATTTTTTTCAGATTTAGTTCTAAAGGAAATAAAGAAATCCCTTAAGATGTTTTTAACACTAGCATTATTCTCAAAATCAACTATGCTTGCATACTTTTTTGTAAATTTTTACAAAGTTATTATTTGAACTTGTTAATTTATTCCACTTTTTCTGCACAAAACTGTGTACTTGTGCTGCCATTTATATGAACAAAATTTCTGGTTAAAGTCTTGAAACCTATCTTTAGGGCTGGTGGGAAAATAAGAAATGGCTACAGAAAGAGTGGACCTCTTTCCTACAGATTCAAAAGTTGTTGATTATGTTTTCCAATTCTGTGAATAATAATTGTCTCATGAATTACAGGTAATACTTTTGAGTGCTACTATGGTTCTACCTCTGTTACAACCTTAGTAGTTTTTTTCTTTTTTTAGTCTATTCTGGATAAGAGCATTTGTGCAGATTCTTTAAAAAAACCAATCTGGTCTTAATATTTTCATCTGTAAAACAATCCAGGCCATTCTTAAGGATATGTGCAGATAAAATAGTCATAACATCAGAAAGAGATTAACCATGTACAAAGATTAGGTTAATAAAGGAATAATTAGGATTAAGGGCCAATCCTGCAATAGGATCATACGCATGAATTTGTCATATGTTTTGCTGTTATGTATTGCTTAACAGTAACTCAAAGCACAACAGCTCTGTCAGTGCTCCTGGGGTAGTTGTACTGTTCTCCCTGTCCTCCTTTTCTCAAGCCCTTGGTACCATTTATGACTAAATTATTAAAATAGCTTGGATCAAAACAGAGAACCATTAATTCTTGTTTCAGCAGTGCCAAACACAAAGTGTAAAACTCAGATAAAAAAAAAGAAAAGCTGTCTATGCCACTGTTACTATCTGTTTAGCATGGACAGACGTCTTTTTCAGTTGGTCTCCTGTATCTGAGCTTGCTTAAAACAATGGGCAGCATTTCTTAGATTGTTTCTCTTTCCTGCCACAGCTCCTTCTAAAGCAGCTTTAAAGTTTCAGGTTCCTTCTGTCATGAGGTTGGCTCTTGCTAGGGGGTTTCATTCTGAGCTGGAAGGAGTTGTTCGTTCTTGTCCTTCTTGGAAGGTTTTTATCAAAAACTGACTACATCATCTTAGTATTTCAACTTTATGCTTAAAAATATTAAGACATCTTACTGCAACTCTAACTTCAAAATAGAATGTGGGGGAAAAAAAGAGCCATATACTAAGATCAGCAGAGATTGTAGATGGTAGTCTCCCATTTAGTCATCAGTGTCAGTCTACTTGCCTCCAACAGTGAAAATCCCATCACACATTTCTATCTGGGTCCTTTTTTTATCTTAATGACCTGTTCATTCTTTCTCAGGGCCAGACTCGTGCTGATTCAGAAGCCCAGGGCAGCAGCAGTGACCAGCATCCACGACTCTGCTGTCAGAGTGACGCAGCAGGAGTGTGTTCCTCAAGAGGCTCCACGTGCCTGGAAGAGGTGAGAAAGCTCTGAGATTGTCATGATCCCAAATAGATTCTGTTGTCTTGAGGACTGATCCTGAACTATGTGTCAATCAGCTAAGAATGAATTCTCAGTATCAAATCAAATTAGTAAAAATACATTTGAAATTACATATGGAAATATAAACTTCTTGGTAGATAGAGTAAGCCACAGTACACTGAGAAAAAAAGGTCACTTTCTTGACATCCAAGTGATGGTAAAAGAGGTGGCTTTTCAGAAAACAGTGGCCACTGTGAATCAGAAGTAGGCAATAATTAATGTCAGCACAATGCATTGAGACTTGTTGCTTCACTTTCATGAATGATTTGTCACCCATGGATGGTGTATAGCCAGTTTATACAAATTGCTAGTAATATGATGCAGCACCTATGGAGCTTGCCTTGTATTTTTTCCCCTGTTGTTTTTCTGCATTAAGATACACTGTTCTTACTGAAAGAGCTACACTGCATGTAGATTGTGGATTCCTGATAGGGTCTTTCTGTTTAAACTTTGTCACAGAAGCTGTGAGACCTAAGATGCACCAGGTAAGGACCAACTCTTCAAAACTGGAAAAAAAGGAATAACTTCTGCAGTAGTTGTTGTAATTCCAGTGCACAAATCTCAATATTATTTGGGCCAATAAATCTGGGATGCAAATAGAAAGTCAGATGGTAAACATTACAGTGATTGTTCTCAGGAATTAAAGAAAATAACCCAGAATTTCTATTTCAAAAAATTACATCTGCAGCTTACCCTATTTTCATGCTTTTCAAAACATCAGAGATGTCAACTGTTTAGCAAGCAGATTCTGACATATGCTGTGCTCTTTTTAATGCTCTTTTTCACTGTACGTTGCATGTGGTGTATTTATATTTTACAGCTATATTTCAGTGGTGTTGGGTGGATTAATATTTATTTATATTGAGATAAAGCTCTTTTGAGTAATTAATGTGAACCAATTTCTCTTTAGCTGTTGAAGACCCAGACTTAGTTTTCATTAAGTGCAGAATTTACCTTTTGCATCAGTGTAGGAAATCAGACAGGAGAAGATGGATTTCAATGGTGCCTGGTCCAGCTCAAGATATATATTGATACCCAAATATTTAGGAGTCTCTCATTCTGCATTAAAGAAATGATCATATGTTGTGGCCCATGCATTTCCCTTTGTCATCTCTTCATTCAATTTGATATGGCAGTGGTATGGATGTAATTGGTAAATACAAGTCAGAGTGGGGGAATGCTTATGGGCAAAGTTTGCTCTTAGGAACTGTATTAGTGTGGTTTGGTATTGGGCAAATTTCTGATGTTTGCAAACCAGTTAGCATGCAGGAAGAAAATGGTGGGTAGATTTATGGTTCTGAAGAAGTAATAGTTTACTCATCCAGTTTCCCAAATCCTATCAAAAAATTAATTTGATTGAAATGTGAAAATTTCACATGTGAAAGCTGTTATTTATTAGATAGTTTGTGAATAGTTGTGTGGGGAAAAAAGGGAGTTTTTCCATGGGATGTGTGCAGAAGATTTGAGATTTTTTTTTTTCAATGTTGTATGTTTTGGCAAGAAACTCAGTTATAAATATATGCATACCTGGGGTGGATAGCTTTTATTCCTGTGTATTACTACTTTTTTTTTTTTTTTCTGCTCCCAGAAATACTTTTCCTGATTCCTGCACCCAAAATTGAAATCTACCGCTGAAATCAACAAAAAAGAAATGATAAAATTTTTTCTTATGGTTAACAAACAAGGTCAAACAAGACTGTCCAGGTATTATGAGCATGTGGAAATTAATAAACGGACAATGCTGGAAGCTGAAGTAATCAAAAATTGTCTTTCCCGTTCGAAGGATGAGGTAGGTTTTGTAGGTTTTATTTCATCCACATCTCACACCTGTCCTCTTGGTAATTCTGAAATCTATCAGTGTCTATTGAAGGTCATTATCTCATTTGTACTCATGATACAAAAGATTGAGTTTCAAGATTGTGGGTTCAGTCAGTTGGACTGTTATTCTGTATTGAGTAAATGTTTTTCTGAAGCTTACATAGATTTTTGGAGTTGTGTGTATCACTGTCATGAAGATTCCTTTTCTTTGTTTGAAGAAGCTCAGAAGTAAAGAAAAACTCATTTTTATTACTGGTTTTACTGAGATATTACAGTTTTGCCAGAAGGTAGAAGGCAGAGTACTGACAGCTCGGAGTTTAAACTCAGGGTAGAGGATTCCAAATTATGAAAACATTATCTAAAGCACAGGGGAGTTTGGAACACAAATTTTTAGGCCTCTGTATTAGACATCTTTATTCAAAAGAAGTGTTTATGTGTTCTGCAAGAAAGTCAGAAAACACAGAAGTTGAAAAATTTTTTGGATGAAAGTTGAGATTTTCATTGCTCTCTTTAATTAAGTCGTTGGTTCTTTAAGAAAAGCACCAAACTTTTGCACATTGACTTGAATTAGAGGAGAAATGTGGGACTTGGACTGTGAATGAAGTTTATTGGTTTCTGTTCTGAAGTCAGCTTCTTTACTTTTCATTAATATTGTGTGTCTTGCACAGCACTCCTCACATACTTCATTCTGGGAAACCTCAATCAAAATAACAATTCTTATAAGTCCCTTAGTTCGCAGCTTTGACAGTGGCTAAAGAAAGGAACGTCTTCGTGCTGCTCCTGCCAGGGCATTCCCGAGCGCAGGCTCCAGCGCAGGAGCTGCGGGCTCTGCCGCTGCCATTTCGGGCACCGAGCAAACGACGCTGGGAAAAGGCGGCGGCATCTCCTCTAGCGGCGAGAAACGGCGCCATCTCCTGGCTCCCTCCCGCTGGGAAAGATGTTAATTCCCCACTGGGTCTGGAAGTCTAATACTTTTAATTTTTACATTGAAATGGTGATACTTTTTTAAAATAGGGAATTTACCTTTAGGTCTCTTTTTGAAAGGGCTTGGAAATGAAAATTGTGGGAAAGTATTGGGTGCCTTTATAACACCAAACAAGTCAGTTCTGCATGTTTCAGTTTTTCCATTTAAAAAGTGGTGGCATGTTTTCTGCCAGTAGATGAAAAGTGTGGTGTAACAGTTACTGTACTGCATTTCTTTCAAGTTAAAATTGATGAATCTTGGCAAATCCATGTTCACTGTGGGTCTTACAAACCTGAAAGCTCAGGTCCTTTGAACAATGTGCTTTATACTGTTGTATGCTGAAATGGCAGCTGCTATATTTGACTCATTTTGCTTCTGCCTAGTGCTCTTTTGTTGAGTATAAGGACTTCAAGCTGGTGTACCGACAGTATGCAGCCCTCTTCATAGTTGTTGGCATCGACCAGACAGAGGTAAGAAATTACATGCCCTCTTGCAATGAATGTTTATAGTGATTATCACAGGCTAGAGCTCAAGTCTTCATCCAGTGTGGAATTTTTAAAAGCAATAAGAGAATTTCAAGGAGTCATTGTAAAATTAAAAAAAAAAAAAAAAAAAAAAAAAAAAAAAAAAAAAAAAAAAAAAAAAAACCAAAAAAAAAAAACAAAAAACAAACCTGAAGCCAAACAAACAAATCCCCTCCCCCAAAAATTTTTTATTTCTGTGAAGTAAGAGAGATATAAAAGCGAGTGTGCTATGTTTGACTTTGGTCTTCAGCAGTAGAATGAACTGTTACCATGAGATAGTCTTCCTGAGCCTTGTACTGATTCTGCAGTAATTTATGTGAGGTGGAGTTTGAGTTTCTCAACAAATGTTAGCATGTAAGGCAGGTCAGCTGTCTCATCTGTGATGACTTCTCTCTGTTTTTAATGTCCTTGGCCAAAGAAAAATTTCCTATACGGTCAGCTATAAAGATGCCAATTTATTTTTCTTTTCAAAAAGGGAAAAAAAAGAGAAAGGTATCTGAAAGATGACAAGTTCTGTTACAAGTACTGTTATTTCATATGTTCAGATTGCACCTGGGAGGCCTTAGTGTTTGTGTTGATAACTGGCTCTCAGAAATTAATTCAGCACTTACTATTGGAGATGATAACAGGGTGCTGTGGAAGGTAGCTGCTGCCTACCACAGTACCTTCAAGTCAGGGTTACCATGGCAGGCAATTTGGGACAAATTATTTTGGCTTGGCTACAGAAATCGCCCAGCAGAGGCTGGCTCTGTGCTGCAGCTGGCTGGTGTGACTGCAGCATGGGTAAGCTTAACCTAGTTAGCTGTGCGTGTCCACGGAGCTGAGCTGGGAGGGGGTGGGACAAGGGCTGCAGTGGGATGGCAGCAGCCCAGGTGAGAGGATCCATTGGCTGTTAGAGCTGCTCTGTGTGGCCAGCCCAGAGCTTCTGCCCTGAGCATTGCCCAGCTCTCAGCACCTCAGCTGCGTGACTACATGGCCTGAGCAGAGGGCTTACTCTATTGTCTAGTGGCTTTTCATTCACCACAAACTGAATTAACACAAAGAATACTATTACATTTTCTAGATCTTTATTTAATATTCAGTTGGTTTTAATTTCAGAATGAGATGGCAGTATATGAATTAATTCATAATTTTGTGGAAGTTTTGGACAAATACTTCAGCAGAGTGGTGAGTGAGACACTGAATCTGTTATGAAACATTTTTTCTCTTTCAAAACTTTGGTAGAAGTGTAATTTCAGAGAATAAATCAGAGGAGAAAAATACTTATTATTTTAGAATTTTGATAAATATTGTCACTGCAGGGAAAGGCAGTATGATCTGATTTTTCAGAGAAGTAAAAGTATACATGGGTTATAAATTATCAGACAAGGAATACCAGAAATATTTTTGTTAGAAAAGCATGGGTTTATGGGTTTTATGGGGTTTCTTTGAGTCATATGCTCTTAAATTAGCCATGGGCATTTTATATGTTTTAAAGAAACAAAGAGGGTTTACTTTGCAGTTCTTATGCACTTTACAGCATTACATTCCCCAAATGAACTTCATTCATGATTAAGATTGTGCAAGCATGAAGCAGGGAACTGACATCACTCTCACTGAACAAGATCAGAGGAATGGAGCAAAAGAAACCTCAAAAACCAGCCTGTACTTGTACTCTCCATATTGTTGTCAGGCAACAGTGGATATCTGATAAAACAACAATTATAGAGATAGTAATTTTGTTAAGGATTCAACATCACACATGGCTCCATTTAAAATTGCACTGTTCCTTTTGGTGGTGAGATTTTTTTGCTTGCTTGTTTTTACAAAGTTTGAAAATGCAGCACTGTAATTCTGGTTAGAATATTTGCTGTTTAATATAGGGTTTGTAATAATCTTGTTACAAAAAAAAAATTTGACTGTAATCATACTTTGGCACAGTTTCAGTTAACCTCTGCTGAAATGTGTTGGATATCCCTCTCGGAAAAGAGGACTGGATAGTTTCCTCTGTAATCCATGTACTTGAGGGTACTACACTGGTAACTGTACATACAAGATATAAGCATGCAGGGTCTAGAACTGCTTTCCCAGTTCTAGACCATAGCAGGCATGGCAGAGCTCCCTCTGTGAATTCAAGGACATGCTTGAAAAAGTCCTCTGCGCCCTTCACTGTTCAGATGCCTGGCAAATCTTTTAGGCTGTTATCTCAACTGACGTCGCACCAGCCCAGGGAAACTCCTGCTAAGTATATCATTCTCTGACTGCACTGAGCTCAGAATTTCTCTTAAAATTGCTGACTATAGTCCCAAACTAAGCAGTGATAACCAGGAATGGGATTAGATCTCAGCAGCACAGGAATGCACAATAAAATTTAGTCACATCTTATTTGTCTGATTGAGCTAATAGTTGCCAACCACCTCTCAAATTTTATTCAATTAAAGCAGAGCAAAAATAGGTGTAGTTCTTATACAGATAAATGTAGTATATATATAATCCTTCGACCACACATATAACGCAACCACTGATAGCTGTTAGAAATTTGCTGAGTTCATCATACCAGAGGGTTTGGGTTTTTTTTTTTATTTTCCATAGCAGTTTGGGTTTGAGACAGACGAACTTAAAAGGAGGATGCTAAAAGAAATCTCATGCCATTTGATGGTTCTGGTTTTAATATCATACAACACAATAAATGGCAGAGCACTAAGACAAGGGCTGTAATTCTAGCTGAGGTTCTGGCAGTAACCACAGAGCAAGAAAGTGTAAATCTGTACTTTTACAGATTACTGTTTAGGATTTGCAGAATTTTAGCAGAATCCCAAATTATGATGGTGGCAATGGAGGCAGACCTCTGGGAAAGGAGAGAACATGTTTCCCACTCTAGAAGGACATTTTGTCATCTATTATTTTTAGACTTGAGAGCTTTAAACATTCTCACGTACTCTATTTTTATCTAATGGAGTTTACAGAGCTTGAATTCAGATATGAGAACAAACATTAATGGAATTAGGGGGAAAGCTTTCAAAGTTGCTTGTGAGATGTAGTTCTGAGTCCCCTTCACTTTTATATGGCTACCCAAGAAAAATTCTGCATACTGGTCAGAATTCCAATGTCTCCAGCTATGTTTTAATGCTGAGAAAACTTAAACTGATCTGGCCCTTGAAATGCAGTTTCTATGATGCATTAAAAACTTCTAATTGAAGAATGGCAGAGTCACTCAGCAGAGGCCTGTAGACTAGAACTACTAGTCCAGTTTAGATCATCTTTAGACCACAGAAGTAGTAGCAATTTTATCAGTAAAACCTTACCATCTTTACTCTGCCTTAAATCCAGGTTTAGACCATGAATGAAAACCACATTATCAAACTGAATTTCTCTAGGCAGCAGGTAAAGATTCCCTCTTTTAGTAGAGACTGGAGAATCTCCACCCAACTCAGTAAGATCTTAAATGGTAAGGCTGGGATTATTTCTTTCTAAGTTTAGCTATTTAACTGAGGCACCTAAGTTAGAAATTTGGTCATCCTGAGCTCCCTTTACTGGCAGTGGAGACCGATGAGTATCTCGAGAAAGTGAGTCATGCCTCAAGTGTGCCGAGTCAACTGGTGAAGATCCCCGTCTCTTCTGCTGACTGCAGAGAGACCACGAGAGCTTCTAACTCACACATTTTGGTTAAATGAGTAATACTGCTTGGGGTAAATCCAAAAATAGAAGGGAAATGATGACTATATGAAGAATTGTGCTGCTGGGGCTGGAGAATACTTAGAAGTGCTAAGGGTCCAAAGCTTGGAGTTGCCTTGCCTTTCCTAATATATGCAGCCACTACCACAGCCATGGGTATATGGATCTAGATTTTGCTGTTGAAATGATCTGCAGCAACAACTTTAACTGTGTAAACTTGGCATTAATGTCCTGGTTTTGCAGGAGGAGGAAGAGAGAATATAGGGCTGGAACTGCCATGATTAGAGCTGCTGGTTTTCCACCCACTCACTCAGATGGCACTGCCCATATTCTAATTGTTACTTGTAGGTGACCTCAGTGAGTTTTTTAAAGTAAAACATTAGCTTTGATTACAGAGACAGATAACACATGTAAAGCAAAGCAGTGTTGCAGGAAAGAGCATGACATTGTCCAGTCCAGAACAGAAATGTGAATCACTCTATAAAATTTCATATCGTTATTTTGAAGACTTTTTTTAGCCTGTGAAGGGATGTGTTATGCTTAATGATCATGAGATGAGATCATCTGAGATAAGAGATCAAACTAACTAATGGCTGTCTATCTTTTTTCCTTGCAGAGTGAATTAGATGTATCCTTTTCAGTATCAGAAATCCATTTGTTGTCACTTTTTGGTGTATGTTCCAGTTCATAGCACTGACTGTCACTCAAGCCAGTGGAGATGTTCACTAGTTTTGTACTTGGAGTAAGTAGCACTATTTTGGCACCTTTCTGAAAGCGTAGCTGATGTTCACGTGGCTCACCTTTTGAAATCCTCCATCATTAAGATAAGCCTGGTTCCATTTAAAGTAAGACACATAGCTTGCTTTGAGAGAACTAAATACATGAAAAGTTAAATTCATGGGGAACTTTCAGGCTTAAGTAGTTTAAGGTTTCACTTTGAGTTACAATAAAATAGATATTGAAATTACTGTAATAACAACTGTCACAGCTGTGTCTTGAGCCAAATAGCAGCACTACTTGTAAGATTATGTTTGCAGTTTGATCTTACTTCATGAAAGGAAGAAGTGAGTTTCACTTTCTGTATCTTTGGAAGGAGGGAAAAAGGTGGGAGGAGAATATTTAAGAAACCAGGTGTTAACTTTTCCCACTTCTCCCCTTACACTGCTGTATTTTCATGCATATGTTTTGCAGGGTAATAATTAAAAAATTATTTAAAACTCACCCAAATACAAATACTAAAATACGGTCCTGAACAATTAAATATAAATAGCAAGTAAATAAAACACAGTACTGGAAAAATTTAACCAGGAGAATTGAACCAGGAGAACCAGCACAGTCGTCCTTCTCAGTTCTTCCAATTCCACTGTGTGTTGACTCTATTCCAGCAGTTCTTATGCTTATATTTGTTGTTGGTTAAATGCAGGTCTGCTGGTACAAAGAGTTTCAGTTACACACCTGAAATACAGTTGCCATCTTGCAATCAAGTACTGTCAAGTAATTTAGTTTATTTATGAATTACCATTTATGAAGCACATAGAAAAAGTCTGTAATTTTTCTTGTTCTTACTTCTTTACTGAAAAAGGAAAAAACAAAACAAAAAACAACTGGAAATAATTCATTTCACTTTTGAAAATATTTTAAAGCTTGCTGCATGTTGTAACTCTGCCTCATTTACTGACTATATATACATATATATATATATGTACATACACTCACACATACTGTCCATGTTTCCTTCCTGAAATTTAGGAAATGCTGTGGTGTTGGTAAAACACTGATTAAATTCACTGATACTATGAAAGAGCAATAATGACACTCCAATGTGAAGTGGTGAAGGGACAACACTTAAGGTGTGTGAGCAATTACAGAAATACAATTTTTGTATTCACTTAATTCTAATCCTGAACTGTGTGTTCATGTATATGAGCTTTGCCAAATTAGAGACTGACCTGGCCTATTTAGTAATTACACATAAAAAGAGGTCCCTATGTTTCCAGGTAGTGTAATTTGAGCATGCAATTGCCTGATTATCTGAGTCATTTGGTATACTGACTATTCTGAATTCTGCTGTCTGTTAAGCAATTTCCTACCAAGAGCTCTACACCTTGAGCTACTCCCACTAGTCCATTTAATAGCTGAGAAAGGCTGCTGCATATCATGGCATAGTTTGGGCTGGAAGAGACTTGAAAGGTCATCTAGTTCCAACCCCTTTGCCATAGAAAGGGACACCTTGCACTAGACGAGGTTGCTCAGAGCTCCATCCACCCTGGGTCTTGAACACCTCCAGGGATGAGACATCTGGAACTTCTCTGGGAAACTTGGGGCAGTCCCTCACCACCTTCATGGTAAAGAATTTTTTCCTAATATCTAATCTACATCTGGTCTCTTTCAGTTTGGAGCCACTTCCCCCTTGTCCATCAATCTCCAGCTTTCTTGTAAGGCTCCTCTTTAGGTACTGGAAGGCCCCAGTTAAGTCACTCCTAAATCATCTAATTTCTAGGCTGAATAATCCAAATTCTCTGTCTTTCCTCATAGGAGAGATGCTCCACCCTTCTAATCATCTTGGTGCCCCTCCTCTGGAGTCTCTCCATCAGCTCCATGTCCTTCCTGTGCTGGCAGCCCAAATCCCTGTGGATGGCATCCTGTCCTTAGTCTGTGCTGTTTGCAGAAGTTGTTGTATTATATGCCAACACTAATGTTGGAAATGGGTGCAATACCATGTCTGAATGATTCCTGCAGAAATTCATCTACATGGGTCTCATCTGCTTGATGGTATTAATATAAATATTTAGGAGTGTGCATTTCTAACTTACTTGGTCATAGTAGAAAAAATACTGGAAAAGCTCGTGTCTGATACATCTCTCCTTAACACATATGACATGTGCATGAAGTATGTAGCTTTAGCATTCAGAAGTGCACTTTTTTGATATACATTTCAGGAACAACTTTACAATAAAACATTTTACTTCTACATATGTACAAAATAATTCTCACATTTAGGAAGAGCTTAATTCTTAAGTTGGAAGGCTACCTAAAATAGTCAAAATGAAATACCCTCCCTTATTAAATGTAAAGCAGAGGTGTAACTAAGAGGAAGGGGATTGTTCAGGACTGTATTTATTTTTGACAACAGCTTGAATAGCTGACCCAGAAGAACAATTCAGGCAAGTGCCTGGAGCTATTATTGCAGTGCAAGAAATAAACCATCAACCTTTCATAATGTGAAAGAAAATAATCCTCACCTGCGATTAAACCCTTGCCTTTGCCAAGTGGTCTCACACTAACTCCCATGCTCAGTGCAGTTAGCTTGCAAAATATCTGATGGAAAAGGTCTGCAACAGTGAACACCAAATAGTATTTACAGAATCTTTGTTTGCAGAGTATCTTGCAGGAGACTCGTAATTTCCTGACCCTCTGCTATTATTTTTGTGTACAGATCCATAGGAAGTTTATTTTAAATGTGATAGTGGCTATTTTATATAGCTAGTAGTGTTTACTAACATGAACAAAATAGAAGGAAATTGCATGAACTCAAAACCCATTTAAAATAGACCATAATTACTAAGGCTATTCAGCCATGCACAGAGCAAAGCCCAGTTAAAGCCAAAGGCTGAGCCTATCACACAACTGAGATGTCCCTGGAACCCACACCAAGCCTGCATCACATGCACTGGTTCTTGCAGCTCCCAGACATAGTGCATTACCCCAGTATTCCTGGCAATGCAGCTCCAGCAGAGGCAGAACTCCAGCTTTCATTTAGGTCCACACCTGAATTCATCCAGGGCATCCACACTGTAGCTCATGTCATGGTCTGGCTGGAGTCAGATGTCAGGAAGGGTGCCTTGGGCACAAGGCAGGGACTGGGTATGATCTTAATCCTTCCCAACAGGATTTGTACATCATGTTGGTATGTATGACATAGATAGGTATGATGCTAAACAATGCATGAACAATGGCAGTTGTCTCATATATTCTCCAAAAATGAACACAGATTACCTATTGACTAAGTGCTTGAGAACAGCCAGCTTTTTATAGAAGCTTTCATGTGTGAATTGTGAACCACTTAGCCATTATGATGTCCATTTTCATTTGGAGAGTCAGTTGCACACTTACAAGTACCTAGGCTGGAATGACATTGGATTGTTTTTAAAATACCAGTAAGTAGTGTTGTTGGGCCAGCTGAAAGAACAAGTACTGAAATTGTCCTCGGGGTGTTGTGCCCTAATGTGTTAATAGCACTGGATAAGCCTCACTTGTCTATAAAATAAGTGGGAGGGGTTCTCTGTAGCACTAAAACTCCAGCTTGGATGGTGTAGGAACTACTTCTTGCTATGATGAGGACAAAAGAGACTATAAAAACACGAGTTAGGACAGCAGCTTTATAAGGAACAAAACACTGGTAAGTATGACGGTTTCTAAAATTACTAAAGGTAACTTTTCTATTGCCTGAAAAGCAGTTGAAGACACATTATTAACTTCTAGAGAAACAGATACTTATGCTCCCCTTGTGGGAGGGGGTGACAGAGTGCTCTGGGACTAAGCATCTGAAGAATGTTGTCTTGATCCAGAAAAGCCATTATATTCCATTGCAACTAGCTGCTGCTGCTCCTTCCAGGATAGATAAGAAGCTTTGATACAGGGATATACTTCATGTGGATCAACTATTCTTCAGTTCTCTGTGGGATAACACTGCATTTAAGGAGTAAGAAAATTGAATTATGAATTTATTCTCTGAATTTATAAGGATGCACTTCAGTTTGCACTGTAACATAAGTGGGTAAAACAGAAACCTGTAAGACTAGCTTAAAATTAGCTTAGTTGTTCTAGAATTTCACAGAACTTGAAGGCACCTTTGTCTCCTGTTTAATATCAGCTAGTCATTTGAGGAAGAAATGGTCAAGAAAAGCATTTCATGGGTTTCAGTGCCTTAAACGTGCCTGCCCTTAGATAGGCTAAAAGTTATTGAAAGTGAACATTGGCAAAGATAAGTCAGAATGTGTGAGTCTAGACTAAATAAAGAAGCAACTCCAACTAATCTCTAGTTGAAGATGATTGTACACTATGGAAATCAAGGGTTTATAGTGCTGTGTATTCAGTAGCAAACCATCTGCCCCGTATGTACCTGTAATCTACAAAGCTTTGTGCTCCTGGGTGTGGTCTGTGATCACAAGGTGCACTTCCTCATCTCTTAAGTCTGGACACACCCTTCAATTACTTGCCTGGAAAACCCTGAGATCTCTTACAATGCCTCCATAGGAAGAAGTTATTTATTACATGCAAGTCCTAACTGTGCCTTTTCCTCTTCTTTCCTTCCCCTTTTCCCTACTCAACTTCTATATACACAATACTTGTGTCACATGTACTTCCTCTTAGTATGCATTTGCCATAAAAGGGATAGTAGAAAGTACCATTAATGTAGTTTAAGTACCATTAAAGTGCTTTAAGAAGGGGAGCTCTTTAAGTTACCAAAAGCCAGTGTAACGTTTAAAAGGCCAGTTGTGTAGGTACCATTTACTTCTACTGCTCGGTGTGCAGCTTGCTGCAGCATTGCCAGAAATTGGGAAGCCAAAGCTGGCGGGGTGGGGGGGCTCACCTTTGCCCAGGCTGGCATGCAGAGATTAACATGTTTTCCTCTGCATTCTTGTTTTTAAAAGTCCTGTTATCCTCTGCCTGGATCTAGTCAAAGTCCTTAGTGCTCTTTTTGTGAGCAGCCCAGGATTCTTACTGGAAGCAGGACCTTAAATGACAGCTCTGGGTGGAGCACATGGCAGTGCAAACACCAAATACAGCTTTTTCCTGTTGCCAGCTGCTCAAACTGGTTTGCTTTGCTGCTTTCACTTGGGTGTGGATTATGACTTCAGGGCTTTAAACCCTGAAATTTGGGGTCACATGCCAAACAAGTAACAGGTGGGGAGGATGAGCCTTGCTAAGGATCAAATACATATCCCTCCCTGGGCAGGGCATGCAGACACGAATGGTTGAGCTGTGTTGGGCAAGATGCAACCATAAAGCATAGGTGAAACTTAGAGGAAGGGGAAAAGACACAGAGTTGCTCCCTGTGCAATCCAATTATTTGCCAAGAACACTGTGGTGAAGGGAGGTGGAATGTTAGGTTGGGGGTAGAGTTAAAGAATGCTTTGGAACCTTCCAAAATCAAGTTGACAGAACTTTCCAGAATGGTATTAGTATCCCCATTCAAACTGCAGATGAAATTACTATTTTTGGAATGATGACTGAGATTACCATATCAGAGATGGACAGAAGTCATGCCACTTCACTGCAATGGAGTAAGCCCATTTGGAAATAACCTGGAATGGCCTGCAGGGAAATAGACATCTCATACTTTCAGTCTGAGTGGAACAGCTCCAAGATTCTTTGCGTGGGTACAGTTTTCCTTTGACATGGTATTGGCTCTTCTGGAAATACAGCAGGCAAATAAAGTGTTGACAAAATGTGATTAAAAATGTGATTTAAATGTTTTCTTAAAGAGGATGATGCAGAAAAATAAGATCGGGGTGGCAGATCACTGCATCGTCACTGATCCTGGTTGATTAAGTTGTCAGGGTTTTAGGTTTTTGGAACTGTTAGAGGAAGGTCTGGGCTCTGCCATGGGAACTGGGGCAGTATGAATCAGTGGTAGAGTGTAAAAATCAAAAGCCAGGAGGAGTTGGCTTTCTCACTTGCTGAAACCTGAATGGAATGTTATCTAATTTCCTTAACAGATCCTGTAGCCCAGTGCAGAGCAGTGCCAGAGGTCAACTAAGCAGCAAAACAGCTGTCTTTCTAAAAATTCTCACATTTCTGTAATAAAGAAATGCTAACTTCTCAGATTGAAATATTTCTGTAAAGACTGGTTTACTCAATAAGTTTATCACAGCAGAAATTTGGCTTCAATCTTTAAACTGCCAAAAGCTTTACTTCAAGTAAAGCTACCACGTGTGTCTCCGGTACCACAGAAATGGTGACTGTTTGAAGTTGGAAGGACAGCACTGCTCCTTGGTATCAAAAGGCACAATTTTTATAAACAATGCAGGCCTATGGTCTGATTCAGGAAGAAGTCTGGTATTTAAAAATTAGTTTGGAATTAAATTAGGTAGTTAAGTTTAAGTCAGCAGATTAGAAGCTGTCCGATGAACCATGGCCATCCCCAAGACCCTGTTGACAGCTATAGTTTCTCACCTAGCAGGAACTAGTGGAAAAGTTATTTGGGGACCTGAACTGTACTACTACACATACCTAGACATGCTGTGCTCTTGGTCAAGCAGAACATTTCTGCTGGAGCAGGGTTACAATTGCTTCCCCTTCTGCACAAACACACAGTAGCACCAAGTTCAGCCGAGAGCATTCACAGCAAGGAGGAACAAATACATAGATACCTGGCTCCGGAGCTGTTGTCATTTGCAGTTCAGTACTCACACTGCTGCAGCTCTTCGGCAGAGCAGTACGGCTGACTGCCAAAGTCAGATCCACTGGCAGTCAGGAGACAGAGCAGTCTCCTTCAATGCCTGAGTTGTGTTAAAAAATAAGACTGATATTTATCACAGAGAGCAGAGGAAACTCTTGATGACTCCAAAAACGTGATTCTTGCAACTCCACTGATTAGCAGGGAAGTCCGCTTAACAATAAATACAAACACTAGAACAAAACCAGGCTGTCTTCCTGAGTTCAATTCACAGTGTCATAAATAGTAGAGTGGGAGAGAAGGCACTCAAGAGACTCATCAGAGTGGTGGGAAAAGTATTGAGAGATGTATTTAGCAGTTACTGTATGAAGTCTTGCTAGCTCCACTGCAGCAGTCCTCAATACATGGGCAAGATTTAGGAGGTACAAAAGGAAGGCAACACAGACCTGTTGTGCTCAGCATAGAACACATGTAAAGAGCAGCAACAGGTGGAGAGCAAGGCAGATAAAGGGTTATTCATGCTCTGTGTATGTATGTCAGTGAAGCATAACAGATGCACCCAGCAGGCTGCTTTGCTGTGCCCGTTTCCATTTCAGGTTGTGGTGATAAATGGCAACATCCAAGCGTTTTTTTCACAGCATAACCCTTGGCAGTTGTTCAGTGGATGTGCTGGACACTCATGTCTGCATGTCTACACTCGTGTGTCATGACTGCCCACCACTTCATACCCCTACAAGGCCTGTGATCGTTGTTTTTTGAGACAGATGCTGTTACATAACGTTAAGGAAAGACAGATGTGCTTATGGACAGATGTGCTTATTTATTTACTTGTCCTCTTTTTATGAGATTTACTGCTAGATCAATGATTCAACTTTATGTATCAGCATACTCCTATTAAGGTACGTCCAAGCAGATCAAATACTGTTATTCAGGGCAAGGAAATTTTGAGAATCTAGTGTTTAAGAACTTGCTAATTACTTTCCTTGGAGGAATGCAGAGTTTTCGCATCTTCACATAAAAAGTTGTGACCCTTTGATAACATTTCATATCCAGACAATACATGGTGCCTCAGGCAGACAGTAAAATTAACCACCTACATCTAAGTGTAAGTTGACCTGGTTTTTGCCACTGTGTACTAGTGCTATATTCCAGGACAGGATACTGCTGGGGCTTCAACTTCTCAAATTCTGACCACTCTGTGATCAGAAAAAATTGTCAGTCGAACTCTTTCCCTAGCTTTGTTAAAATAATGGTAAATAAACTAGAATAAATTAAGAAATACTGATTTTTGTTAATTTTTATTGAAGACTTAGGAGCTTAAGATTTTTTTCTGAATTATCTTCACATTGTTCAAAATACACTTAACTTGAAATGTTTCTAGATCATGTTTAATTTGGACAGAGTGCACATCATTTTGGATGAAATGGTGCTAAATGGCTGCATCGTGGAAACAAACCGGAACAGAATTCTTGCCCCTCTGTTTGTGCTTGACAAAGTGGCAGAAGGCTAGGAAGATGCAAGAGTGACTGAGGCATTTTACAGAAGATGGCAAAAGCATCAGGAATGTGCCTGTAGCAGTTTTCTGCTGTTGCAAGACTGACTCATGCAACATTCAAATTAGTTGGAAAATATTTTCCTTTTCTCTTATACTCTGTGTACCCAGTGGGAAAGATACAGCTAAACATGTGGATGCATTTGGATCAAACTTCACTGACCCAGCAGAAATCTTCGTAGAATGGTCAATAATTATAAAACCTTTTTTTGGATGAAACAATGGAAACTTACCATGACTGACTAGGTATCATTTGGAATTATGTAGTATCATGCCAGACCTAGAAGACAAAATACATAGAAATATAAATTCAAACTGAGTTTCAGTCCTTCCCTTAAGCACCAACTTGATTTATTTTCATACAAATTTACTGTTAATAATAGTTCTATGACTTTTATACCTACTTTTAAACTATATTCATCCTTCATCAAAAAGCTGATTTCCCTACCTTTGCCATTCAAGTCATTGACACAAAAAGAAAAGTATAGATGTATTACGTATTTCTGCATATTCTGCAAGTTGTAACTGGAATTATTTAGCACTTAAATATTATAATATTAATAAAATAATTAAAATCAGAAGTTCAATGCTCTTTTGTCATGTTTGCTTTATAAATTACACAGGATCTTTTCCCTTTTGGCACACCAGTGTATTTTTTTTTTCTCTTGTATATGCTATCTATGCATCAAGAGTAAAACTCTTACAGAAGATGAGTAATAAAAGATACAAGTTCTCAGGACCAGGTGGGTACCAAATGAAGTCTCCCTTCTTGAGCAGGAAGCCACAGCTATGGTAAGTTGCATTCCCAGGTATCCAGCACGCTGATTCACACTGCACACTACTCTGTCAGTCAGGACAGCTGGCAATCTCAGCTTACTTCCACTTACCTTTCTAGAACTGCTATCTGCCTCCTTCTTCTTAACCTCCAGCCCAACCCTACACATAACCTGCTACTGAATAAGCATATTCTGTGTGAAAGCACATGATGGTCACATAAACACCACTCAGAAACCAGGGTCTAAGGAGCAGAGCGTTGTGTTGTGTTGTGTGTGAGAATAATCCACAGGGCTTTCACACAGTAACACATTTATCAAAACAGGATGATGCTGGGACTGGAGCAGAGTTGCATAAACCTGGATACAGGTGTTTGTCTGAAGCATGACAGGCTCTGGAGTGGGCAGGATGGTGGATATTCCCCTCCAATTCTGCATTAGGGAAAATCTAAAAAACAATGCTGTAAAGTCCTACAAACAATGCCATGAAAAAAAATATGGCACCAACCTGATGTGTATGTGAAGGCAGGATCTTTTGGCAAGCCCACCTCAGCAGTGGCCTGAGAAGAGGTTGTTACCAAGGAGAACTGGCACAAAGCAAAACTTATTACATAGATTCAACCACAATAGCTTTTTTTTTTTTTTTTCCCCTGGTATCAACTACTTAAAATCTTTAAAACCATATCTTGATTTATCTTACTGTGAGCCACTTTTCTTCCAATAAATATTACGTGCTAACACTAAGACAGCTAGTCCATCTCAAGTGAAGCTGAATCAGCTGTATCACCTGTCCCAGATTTTATTCCAGCGTAATGAAGAACTGTAGTCTCAGGTCACAGAAGAGCAAAACCTGCCACATGCACGTTATTACTACCAGACTCATTCTTAAGAAGTTCCACTCACTCTGAAAAGATTTGAACACAGAGGTGAATTTGTGAGATCAGTAGTTCTCTTATGTAGTTCTTTGAAACCTTTAAAAAAGCATGGCACATTGTTCAGAACATGTACAGAGATTTAGTGAGTATTAATGAAGTATTCAGAAGAGACATTTTTATATGTTGCAAACATTTTAATGATTACTTTTGAGCTTACACATTGGGTGCTTTTTTTTTTTTAAACTTCAAACTGCAACAAGTTAAATAAATGTTTATAATATACAAAGAAAATACAACCGAAAGTAAAACTTGCTTTAAGTGTGCCTTGCACTAGGAACCAGTGTTTTTTAATAGCTTTATTGTTGAGCTGCACGAACACACTTAAGGATTTGATCTTTATAGCAGGGCATTTGAGAAATCAAAATATATTCCCACTTGAAAGAAAAAGAAGAAAAAAAATGGTTGTGCATGATTATACGCAAAAACCCACTAAAATACTCCAATAGTGCAGGCACCATTAAGAAAGAAAAGGCTGGAGATGCCCATTAAGTCTAAATTTTAAAGGAAGCAAGTTTCTGACCAGTTAGCTTAAAGCCAGCAAAACAGGGATCAGTGATGGCAACCGTAGTGTACAGGGTATTAAAAGACAAACTTTACACAATACACTGTTAGAAATTTGTATCAGTGAACACTGAAAATCTGATGATCTGTTCTTTGGAACAGTCAAACAGAAACACCTTAATTTCCAGTTGTGCAAGCCCTTGAAGCATCACACAGTGTTCTGTGCCAATTTCTTGCTGGCTGTGTAGTTACAAGGATTTATTTTGTCATTAGCAGCTAACAAACATTCCACATTTTCCTAAAGCCTCACAGGTGAAAAAAGGCAAGTCTCGTCAGAGCACAGCGTGGAGATCGTATTTTTTGCACACAAACACAAGAGGCTTTGCTAGTATCAAAAACACTTCCATGTCCCAGGCTGCGCTCAGCGGCTCAGTTGAGATGGAAGCCTTTCTCCATGGTAGCAGCTAGCAGACGCTCCCTCATAATCTCCTCGGAAGAATACTCAGGCAACTTTAGGTAATGTACACATGTATTCACAGATGGATAGCTTGCATCTGTAGCATCAACCTGAGGGAAAAAAAAGAATTTTACAGCAGTTGTTCACAGCACTCAGTATGGAAGTTAAAAGCTAAAAAGTCCTCTAAGTCATGGCACTTGCTGCATACCTAACACCAGTTGTCAAGAAACAAGAGCATCAGCAAAGCTACAGGCCAATTTATAAATATACTTGCTTTATATGTACATTAATACTTTGATATTTATATATATGAATTATATATATATAAAAATATATATGGTATCAGAGGAAACAAGAGGTTAGTACTGAAACCTTAGCATACTGCCATAAATTAAATAACTAAAATCGAAAGCATCATTGTTAATGCAGAAACCCCTGCACTGCCAAGGCAAAGCAGCTGGCCCAAAGCGTGGCCCGGAGACGCTGTACCTTGCGCACAACAGTGAGCCGGGGGTGGAGGTTTGCCAGCCCTCCTGGTGGGAGTGTCGAACAGCCAGTGGTGAACTGCAGAAAAGCCTTCCTCTCATCCGAAGACATTCCACACAAGACTCTCACAAATCGAAGGAATCCAGGGCTTAAAATAAAGCAAAACAATTAGTTCTGATAACACTAGAAGAGAGTGATGGGGGGGGTTAAAATTTCTCTTAACTTGACACAGTAGAATTGCAATCTTTAGTCACAATTAAACAGACATTGTAAGAATCTAGGGCCTGTTGAGTATTAAGAATAAAACATCCTTAAATCCAAAGAAATATTCTTTAATCTCCTTGCAGAGTATTACACAAAAAAATGTAGGTACATACTTATTTTGGGGTGTTGTTTGGGTATCTTGCATTTGAATGCATTTGACAAGGTAGAGAAGTAGAGCTCAAATATTTCAGCAGGCTTATTCTAATACAGTTCCAGAAGTGATTTTTATGTTATTGCTGCTAAATAGAACAAGCAGCAAAACCCAAGCCCAACAACCCGAAAACATCAAGATCACCTTCTGATAGCCAACCACCAGTAAGTATATTTGTCCCCTGCATAGTACACTTTCTTTTTTTAACTACACCTCAAGAGAAAGGAATAATAAATATGGGCAAAGTAGCAACTGTGCACACCCAGAAAAAAATTATAACTATTCTCAAATATGAGAATAAAAACTCTAAAATCTATTTGTAGTAATCTGTATTAGCTGCCATTATGTTTTCATTAGTTACTTGTATTGGAGTAATTTTTTTATCTTCTCTCATCACAAAACTACCAAGTACTTTCTAACCTATCTGTTGTAACACGTGGTTGTTTCACGCGATTTTAGACAATCACCTTCTCTTCAGTAACCACCACTTTCATCAAATTTGGCATCTTCATCTAATGAACATCCTGGGCATTCTGCCACTTAATGTTTTCTTTTAGCTACTATTTTAAAATCACTCAGAATAAAAGTACCTATCTCTTGTATATCCCAGTTTGGGTTCGGTGTAATTGATGATATCCTCAGCTGCCCAAGAAGGTGATTGATTTCCACACAGAATCATCTGAACCTCTTCATGGCTGAAGGAACTCAGCTTCTCCATTGGAAACACTCTATTGAAGCCATCTTTAATTTACACAAGATACAGTTACAAAAATGAGTCCAAATAATGTTTATAAAATAATGTCAGCATTTAAGTTGAATTTTAGTCAAACCAGAATCAATCAACAGTTTCTTAATTAAGGTAAGTGGGACATCTTCACAATTAAAAACAGCTTAACTAATGCAAAGGTATTCTGAAATTAGTATCTTACCTATTGCATTCTTAAGTAAAAAGTCTATTTTTGATAGCCATTCTATGCCACCACTTTAAACCAGCATTCCCTAAACACCCATTATTCCACTTAACTTCATACATGTTGTTATATTTACCTCTGAAGGCTTCCATTTGTTTCTGTATACCAGTATGCATGCAGAAGTCAAACATGAGATCTACATACTCCTCTGCATTATCCATTGTTACAGTCTGCAAAGACAATAGATAGATACTCTAAGAATTCACTGTTCACTGAAGTTGTTGAGACAATAAAAATTTAACTGCTGGTTCAGTTGTAAAGGTAGGTTATTTTCTTACCTCATCTTCACCACCTGGTTTGAGATCCACAGCTGTAAACCCATATACTTTGGATGAAGGGCAAAACTGAAAATTTAAACTTCAAAATACAAAGGTAGTTAATAACTGAAAACAAGTCTGCTAATGCTTTTGTAAACACACCAGATTTACAA